TCAACCAGAAACGAATGCACAACAAGTATTTATGAATCAACAAAAAATAATTTCTTTTGAAAAAAACAACACATACACAACACAAACAAACAATACACAAAATAACAACACACATTCAGTTCAAGTATTTATATTTGGGTGTCTGAGTTTTAGACTGTTGTTTCCTGGAACGCGCCCAGTCCTCTCTTCAAACGATCGCGGCATTTCTAGAAATTAGTCAGCATTTTTGTACATCATTAGGTTCAAAAGACAGTTCTGAAAGTTTACAGTGGGCTTGTTAATTTGTTCAACAAAAAGCTTGAAAACGATAAAATTAGTGACATTTTAATGCTAGGGGGACCAAAATCGCCCGTAAGCCGGTTGTAGCAATCCCATGTTAGTGATGTTACTGGGATGCTCTCACCTGCCGGGCATAGTTTTGGCAGGTCCTTCGTCCCTGAGCTGCGTATTTCCAGTTAGTACTTGTTACCTGTTTGATGACGTTTCTACGGCAGCGGTCTGAGTGGTCATTTATTTTCCCGCGGGTGCATCTCGCTAATGCTGTGGAAAGAATTTTCGAATTTTGATTTCGTTTAGCTTTGCATCCCATTATTTTCCGAATAGTAATAAAATAAATGGCTTCCTGCCGTTAATTTTATTCGTATTCGGAAAATAAAATTAATGGCTACTTTATACAGTTGTTTTTATCTGGTTTTGACAAGATTTGAGAAAACAGGGAAAAGACAAACTTGGATAAGGTCTCTCGGGTAGGGTCTGGGGAAAGGCAGAATCCATGCTGGAAGTGTGGCTGTTGCATCCAGGACTTCACATTCAGCGACCGCATAATAGCTTGTATAAGTGACTTGTGAATATAGCAGTGTGACGAACTGTATCACAAAATTGAGTATTGAGAAGACAACAGGTAAAGTAGTAACCAGCCTGCGTTTTACCGAGGCCACACAACCTGAATAAAACAAAAATGACCACTACATCGACTAATGATGCGAAGATGCGTTTTTTGCACAGTTCCCCACAGTTTTTTATCCCTAACGGCGCTGTTTCCCCGGCAGATCTTCCACCTGAGAGAACTGAGACTAGCCACCACATCTGCCTTTTAAAAAATCCTTTAAAATTTTAGCTTTCTAGCTTTTTTGGTTCCCAAGTTAGCAACTTTCCCGCAGAAACTTTCGTACG